AGCAGCATTGGCGCCAACGGAACCCACTGTCCCAATGACAGAGGCCACTGCATCCTCACAGCCATTGGCCTCAAAGGAACCAGAACCAGAAGCACCAGCAAATGCCATTGCATCCATGGAGGCACCATCAGCAGAAGTGGCAGCCAACCAGGCACCAGCAGCAGCATTGGCGCCAGATCAACCAGAACCAAAAGCACCAGCAAATGCCACTGCATCCATGGAGGCACCAGCAGCAACATCGGTGTCAACAGAACCAACAGCAACAGCTTTGGCAGAAACAGCGCAAGCATCAGCAACACAACTCTCGGCATCAGTGCAAGCAGCGGCAACCTCAGCACCAGCAACGGTTTCAGCATGTCCCTCAACAACCAAGGAGTGCAAGAAACCAGATGAGAAGAAGAAAGACAAGAAGGACAAAGAGCACAAGGAGCACAAGGAACACAAGGAAAAGCATAAGAAAGACAAGGACAAGAAGGAGAAGCAGAAGGATAAGAAAGAAAAGAATGATGATCCAATGCATGACCATGAGCACAGGAGTTCCTCTAGCAAGCGTGGAGAGGCACTTGTTGGTGACATGGCTGTGCAGGATGCAAAGAAGCTCAAGAAGACCCATGGCGACCATGGCTACGCAAACATCCTGGCAAGCTTCCAATCTCAGATTCATGATACTTCTTTGGATTCCAAGTCCACTTGCGCTTCCATGCATGATGGGCTTGACCTCGATGAGCTTGCGAAGCAGGCGGAAAACAGGGCTTTTTGGGACGCTCATCAGGTTCCACACATTGAGGATGGAAATGAGGAGGAGCCAGATGGGGATGAGGAGCAGGAGGAGCAGCACAAGACCAAAGGATCTTCCAAGCGCAAAGCCTCTGAGAGTCGTGCTGATGATTCGCTGAAGCCTGCAGCAAAAGCAAAGGCAAAGGCAAAGGCAAAGGCACAAGTCAAGGCTGCTTGCAAAGCCACATCAAAGCCGAAAGCTCAGGCGAAGCAGAAAGCACAAGCTCAGCCCAAGAACAAGAGCAAAGGTACCGGCAAAGGACAAAACACCTCGCTGACAGCCTTTCTGAGAAAGTGAGGTCAAGACTTGATCGAAAAGATCAGTCCTGTTTGCCTGCTGCCAATCGTGCAGTGGGTTCAGCGGTTTGTTGGCAGTGGTTACAAGAGTATATGTAACTAAATTGCTGATTGTGCAATGAACAAAGCCAACCGCTACAATCCAAGTTACTCAGCTAGACAAGACACAGGTGCAAGACTGTCGGCTGAGGTTTGCCGATAGTCACTGACACTTGTGGAGCTTGTTTGAGGCAGGAGAGGAAAAAAACACAATACATTTGTGCGCAAGCTTATGTGCAAGGGCTGGGGCTTAAATACAAGGGTGTAACCTGAATAAAGAAATTTGACAAAGGTGACATACGCTTTTTGTTACACTTGCAACTGTTGCTTGTCACCAAGCTTTGTGATTTAAGAGCTTTTACCCCGGTTGCTTTTGGCCCGCTTTTCCTGTTACTCTTTCTGGGCGCTTCTAGAACATTCCTACCGTAACGGTGTTCGAAAAGCGCTTTGTATTGCGGATAGGGATGCAGACAGATGGACAGATAGATTATAGATGTGCGGCAGATAGATAGGAGGCGTGGATAAACAGATCGCTGGACTAGGGGATGGTCGGGGGTCGGATCAGCTAGAGATTTACTGCGATAGGGAGGATTAGGAAGACCGGTCCAACAAGGAAGTATATCAAATACATATATAGATAAAACGAGTAGTGAGACATCAGTGAGACATCCAGGCGGGAGAGATAGAAAGGACCCGAGTTTAGTGAAAGAAAGGCAAGTCAAGGGCTGGAGGAAGCGAAAGCGAAGTAAATAAAACTGGACCCGAGAACAAACAGAGAAGAGAGGAGAAGGAGAGGAGATGTGAGGAGAACAGAGAAAAGAAGAAGGGCTATTTGTGGAGGCTTTTTCGAGGCTAATAATCGTTCTTGTTTGAACTTTTGCCCAGCAAGTCATTGTCTTTACCTCTTAAACGATTGTTTTTACCTAGGAGTGGGATTGTTGACCTTCATTTAGTGCCTTGATAGCTTCCCTAAGGACAGGCCTTGTGAGTTGCCTGTGGAAGCCTTTTCTGACTGCCAAATTCAATGGCGGGAAGATGCTACATATGTGGTCAACCCTCAAGCCCCACCTGTGAAGCAGTGCCTTGCACATGAATCAATGCACATGGCTTCAATCTTTGCTATTGATATTCAGTCATTCATTTTTTTCCACTTCTTTGTCATTGCATTTTGCCCTATGTATTCTGTATAAACCGAGGGATTTGGTACTCACGAAAGACGAGCTGCAGAAGCTTCAGTGTGCCTTTTTCAATCATTGCTTGGAGTAGGAAACGCGGGTCTTTGACAGAATTCATGGCTTGCTCTTGTTGCTAGAGAGCCGTCTCCACAGCCCCAACAGGTGTGCTGGTGGAGCGCGACAATTCCTTCACAGTGAGAGAGCGTTGGGAAGGTCGCGAGGTAAAGCCACATGAAGTCGTCTACCGGAATGCGCAAGAGGCCTTTGGACATGCCTGGAGTGCACAGCGAGAGAAGCAAAGTTCACATTCATGTTTTCAATGTAACTTGCTTCTGTATCTTGCAGGTGAGGTTGCCGGTGGGGGGCCGGGTCAGGGTTCACCTAGTGTTGGAGCTTTATGGGAAACATTTCTATTGCCATGGGGCAATGGGGAGATTTCTTGTTTGCACTTTGTTGGCAGGCTGTAAAAGACATTAAGCTTCAGCAAGTGCAAACTGACAGGGAGAGCTACTGGGAGGCTTGTGTTCGGTTGGCTAATTTGCTTGTTTGGCTTTTGTGTGGTGGTAAATACCATGTGCAAGGTTTGCAAAGTCAAAGATGATGGGGTGGCCAGCAAAGCTCGTATGGTACCTGGCCAACGTCTTTCTGAAATTTCCATAGCCTTGCCAGATCCCCTCCAACTGAAGCTGGTCAGGACACGCAACAGACGAGAACAGTTGCAAAGCAATATGAATCACGCATCTGACTTTAAGTGTCACATACAGATGCGTCCAGCCAACAAGGAGCGATGTGAATTTGGATGATATCAAAGGCCTTAGGTGGGAGTCCATCAAGGTTGAGGATATGCCAGATATTCCAAAATGCTTCTCAGATTGGGGAAGCTCCGCAGTACCTTTCTTGCAGAGTAGGCCAGATTGAAGTTTGAAGGCCTTTGTGTTGCCGTAGCAGCAGCATGCCGTACTGGGAACGATCGGAGCACAGCCAAGGATGATGCAGGTCTGTCGTTTCCGTGCAAGCTCAAGTTTGACCTGGTTGCCCCAGGGTCCCAAGTGATTGCTGCAAGAGCAGGGAGGGAGAAGCCGAAAGAGGACCTCGCGGGTGTTTACTGTGCAAGACTGTGGTGTCTAACGAGTCCAACTTGAACTTGATGTGGCTGAGCTGAACCCAGAAGTAGCTTTCAGATGTCACATTGGAAGAGTTTGTGGAGGAACAAGAGGAAGACGAGGGTCACAAAATTTCTCTGGACCTGCTGGAGAAACTGCAGAAAGAAAGCGAGTGCACAATTCAATTTGAGCGAGCTCCCCGCGAACGAATTACTAGATCATCGGCTGCTGTTCGTGACTCCTTTGCATGTATTGTTTGGTGGTCGGCGGGCCGATCTTGTCTTGACACCAAGAACCACCTTGACTTGATTGATTTCGGAGTTTCAGGCCATCGGCATTTCAAAGAAAGCGACTCAGAGGGTTGGAAAGATGACCTGTCCCTCTTCGAGACGTGGTTGGCATCGAAGGCGATGTCTCCGAGCTACCTGCCATCAATGCAAAGATAGAGAGAGATATTGGGATTGCAACGGTAGTCGGCTCATTTGGGATTATATAGACCAGGTCATCTTTGCATTAGACTCATTGGAATCATTGGACTCCTGTGACATGATTGACAGACTGCTGAGATCATTTGAAGTTTGTCTTCAAGAAGCTCTTAGAGTCCGTCCGGAAAGAACTCACCGAGTTTGAGCGTTGCGTGGCTGCAAAAGCCGTTTGGTTTCATTTGTGCCTGTTTTAATGTGAGTTTGGTCGTATGCATTTTTTGACATGGGCTAGGTTTCTTTTTTGAGGGTCCTTCATCGAAAGGCACAGTGCCAATTGCTGGGCTTTCCAGGCAAAAAGACTCATCGTTTTCAATCACTGCTGGCCAAGAGCATACGCTTCGTCGACTTGACAGCTCGAAGAGATCAGTTGACAGAGGCAGGAAGGACCAACCATAGCAAATGAGGCTTTGTATATCCTGTATATCATATATGCCTTTGACTCAACATTTCAACCGTCAATGGACGAATCTTTTGCAATTCCGCAATCCTCTTGATCTTGCTGCGTTTAGAAGCCTAAAGATGCTGCCGCCTGTCCGTATCAATCTCAATGCTCGAAAGTCAAGCACTCAAGAGCTTGCACTTTTGTGCGGTCATTGGTTTGCTATATGCATCATCGTAGAGTTGCATTTAGGTTTGAACTAGATACTTATACAGTAACGTGAGTCTGCACAAGGACGTAACATTTTTGAAACACAAGTGCAAGATGCCTTTCCATGTTTTTTGTGATGTCACGTTTCCAATGTTGGTATTGTTTACCTTCTGGGGATCTACAGTGCTACTAGTGATAGCAGAGCCCACTGGGCCCATCAGCTTAGTTTGACCACGGCTTGGCTGTGGCTTTTAGAGCCAGGCCAGCTGTATGGTTTGCATCTTGATGTTGGATGCCGCTTTGCAACAGCTAGTGGCCAAATGTTGACCATTGCCTGCAGATTGCGGCAACCGCCAGTCTGCAGCAGAAACGCCACCACAAAGAGTTGCTAGCTGAAATCAATGCCACTTGGCGGAGAAAGGATTAGTGTGCTCTTATGTTCTGAATCGGTCTACCACTTTTCGCCCACCCCCCTGGCTTCAAGTGATTACATCATCACTAATTGCGAGCGACATGTAGCAACATTGTGACACCAGGCCGTCCAGACTGTCTGGCTTGTTGATTCCAAGTGCCTGTTTTTGCACATGGAGCCAGTTGAGGTAATTGAGCAAGAGCTGGAACTTCTGTTTGACCAGGCGTTGGGCGACTGTTGGTGGGAGAGCGCGCACGTCGGTGGGCGCGATGCCTTTTGCACGAGCTTTCTTTCCTTCGCAGGTTCCGTTGTTTTTTCTCTCCGACATCTCAGAGTTGGCCGGAGACATCATAACTTCAGGCTGCTGTTGTGATTCAGCTTGATTGGCGGTTCGTCGCTTCGTGCAACTGAAGCCTGAAGCGCTCTGAGCGCCCAAAGGGCACCATCCCGCAGGCAACAAAATGGAACAGATTGTGGTTCCAATGCCTGAGCCCAATGCAGCACCATCGAGACGTTCTAGGAGGGTTTGACATGTTTGTTTGAACCAGTTTCCTTTTCACGTCTAAGTCTCAGTTGAAACGCCTCCAGGAGCTTGCCGGCTGCTACCATGATGCACGTTTCCAGCTGCAAGCTGAGGGTGACAGTTCAGTCGACCCTTTTGGAATCTTTTGGAGCCCATGCTGATGCTGAGGCATGAAGGAGGCAGAAGAGATCCTTGACTTAGTTTCGTACTTTTGCCAGGGAGGCAGACTTCGACATTCCGCTCCGACCTGGGGTGTCAAGTATGTTGACAGGGCACAAGATGCTGCGCTGGTTGGCACTTTGCAGGGTCAAGTCAGTCACCAGTTTGAGATAGTTTGAGTCATGTCATTTGTGTGTGCACAAATTTTGATCTGGAAAGCATCAGCCGCGGCAAGGTTGGGCTATGGATGTCGGGGCTATATATAGACTAGATTCTTTCTCCACAACTCTTCTGGGAGGGGCATCCTTTGAGCCCAGCAATGGCAAGTTCAATATCCTTGATGGCCCCATCCAGATCCCAGACTTTTGAAGCCAAGAATGAGCAAGATGCGAAGGGACTGAATTCTGTGCATCAGGCCACGGCACAACGTTAACAGGTCTGAACAAGGTTCGGTCACAGGTGGCCCCTTGCAAATCATGTTTCTCGCTGCACTTTTAGGAGCCTAGAAGAATTGATGGGACAAGCGATGCCTTGTGAAGAGAGAAAGCGGCTCCAGGACAGCCATAGCATGTCACGAGTAGCCATAGTTGCCGGGCTGAATATGTACAGTGATTACAGCTCATGACCATTCTGCGTAACACGTGAAGTCTTGCAGGAAGCTTTCAAGTATTTGCACAAGAAGTCAGAAGAGCAAGGAACATAGCATTACACATGGATGTTGACCTGCGCATTTCAGTCCTGCAATGTGCATAGCACACATGCACACATGATCAGATCAAAGGCCCAAGAAACATGTTTCATCACGCCGAGTCAGCCGAGTAAGCGATGATGAAACAGGAAGAGATGGTGGAATAAAAGGACACATGCGATGACATGTCAAGCATGATTACGGTGTGGTCCGAAGTTGTCCCGAGGTACCACAACAAATTGCATGGCCGTGGCAAGAAACTTGACACTCAGTCGGCGACAAAGCTGCAAGTTGCTTCATGTAGGGTATTGGTGCACCCCAGGCTGCGGGCTGCCTTGCTGTCAACTGTTATACATGGTGATGACAGTTGGAGTGCTCATGCTCTCGTTCGGAATGGAGGGTCGGCCACCTGATTTGGCAAAGGCGAACGGCCATGGTCATGAAGATGGCCGGCTTTCGTTCAAGGAATTCGAGAAGGTGATGTTGTTGAGTTCCTTGTTTCCAAGTTTTGCGCGACCGATCAGTGGGCAACGCAAAGCCTACAGGCAAGATCATGTAAAGGCAGATGTAGCGGGATAGTGGAGCCAATGACACATGTCCTGATCCCAACTACATTAATTTAATAACAGTGCAGGGTGAGAACTGCTTTTTGCAATCTCTATGCACTGCTGAACCTGGCACCTCACGTGTCAAAAGCCAAAGATTTAGAGACAGACATAGAGGTTTCTCCGACTCTCCAGCGAGGGTGAAAGCTCCTACAGAGCAACCGTATGCAACCGTTGCATGGAAAACCGTGTGTACATGTGTGAATGGTTGTGGTGGCTCCTTGTGTAGGAGATCCTCATGCCCTTCCCCACCCAAGACTCAAGAGCCCCCGAACCATGCAGTGTTTCGTTTTCACGTGGGAACGTTTGGTGACGTGAGCCTTGAGACATGATTGGTATTGATTGGTTGTGTTCCACGATACAGTTCCCCTGCCCCTGCGATTCGTCTCTTGCAAGGGCTCGAAGAGGTTTCCAGCGCTCATCCTTCCCAGCACTGTGCAGCGAAAGGGGCCGGAGAAAGCAATGAAACACGCATGAAGCCAAAATCAGAACGCTGCCTAATCAACACTGCCTGATCAAGAATTCATCAGCTTCAGATTCTGCAGACATCTCACTACATTTAAGGCCGAATGTTCGATCTTTCAGTGGGAACTGACAAGCGATTGACGAGATTCTATTCGAAGGAAGGGAAGGAGGTGAGGAAGGTGAAGAAGCGAGGAGGTGGACAGTATGTAGTTCTTCACTTGCAAAATCCATGAGGGCGACTTAGTGCGTGTTTCTTTTTGCCGAGCTCCTTTTCATAAGCCAAGCCGAAGCCGAAGCCATCTCACATGTGCCCTCCGAGCTAGCCCAACGCCTAAGTCATCTCAGCCAGGCTGACCAGTAAAGCTTGATCTGCCAAAGATGTCCTTGCTTTGTTTGCTTCAGGGGTGAGGCTTTGCCAGCCCAATTGGATTGAAAATGCATGGTGCGCAGTTTAAGCGTGACCCACCCCATAAGTTCGTGCTGAATGCGCTTGTTTTGCAATAGAAGTTCTTGCTTCGCTGGCTTCACTGCATGTTTTTCTCCTCTCCTCTCCTCTTCTCCTCTCCTCGCCACGCCGCTCCGCTCCGCTCCGCTCCGCTCCACTCCCACATCCCAACGAAAAGGAACACCCTTTCCAAGCATCAATTCTGCCAATTGCATGCCTTCACATTAGCTGCTGCTTGGGGGTCAGAGAGGCAACGCTAAGTTTTCAGAAGCTATTAACGAAGGAAGTTAATCCTCAGGTGGTGTGAATTGGCTGGCGTCCGAAGAGTTGCGCGTGCTGTTTGACTCGATGGATGCGGATGGATCTGGTAAACTGAATCTAGGACTGCACTTCCAAACGCTTGTGAACAGCCTGAACAACTCAGTTGGACATATGCCACAACTCAAGCAATACCAGTCTCCACACATTTGCACATGCAGTTGCAAGAGCAGGAGAACTTCAAAACACAGCCATCCGCTTGTCGGACTTGGCTGGCCGTGTGCAAACTTTTCGCGAAGAGAACAAGGTGATTGCACATTTGGGCTAGTTCAGTGTGTTTGTTGTCTAATTACAAAGGAGTTTTCACTTGATTCTTCTATATACTCTTCTGATCTCTTCTGATGGGGTTTGCAGCCTTTTGGTAGATTTTGCAAGTCTGAACATTGTCAACCATCCTATCCTTGCCAAGCTGCTAATTCTTGCAGTTTGGTGCAAGGGCATGTCGGCCGAGAACTGCTTGCTGGAATTTGGACAATTGCTGCAAATGGGACATGATCTCGTTGGACCTCAAGCACATCCGCTTCTCCCGGACAGCCACATCTCAGCTTCCAGCTACTTCAATGAACGAGCAGAGTATGGCAAGCAACAGATGTGGCGGTCGCGACTGGATTGCATCGACTCTTGCTGGGTTGGAAAGCCCAAAGACCAAGATCCAAATCCCTGGCTTCAGTGGCAGTTTTCCTCATGCAGAGAGATCCGGGCTATTGGGACAAAGGGCAGGCCCGATACCGACAGCTGGGCGTCCAGCTCAGTTGATCAGAGTACGCCCTGCAGAGAGGCATTGTGTTTGGTTTTGCCAGTGATGCATTCAGCAATTTATTTACATGCTTAAAGGCTTAAGTTGTTTGTTGACGAAGCCGAGTGTTGATGAATTGATGGGTAGATTCCGGGTAGATGTGGTCTCTTGTACACGTGCAAGGTCACAAAGTTCACGATCAAATATTTGGCGGAAGAGCTTGAGGATGATGAGGAGATTCCAGACACTTGTCATCACCTGTAAAGAAGATCATTTCAGTTTAAAACTGATTAGCATTAGAGGCTAAGTGTTGAGTCCAGCTTGCTTGCTATTGAAGTGCTGCTGACGAGCCGTGAGCTGAAGGCAGATGGACACTTCAAATGGAAAATGTACTGTGTGAAGGGATGGCCGATGCAATTGGACGGAAACTTTGACAGGAACACCAGAAAGGACGAACAATGGGGAGTGACAGGCTGACTTGACGCATCATTCTGGTCATTGAGCAGCCGGGGTTCACATGTCCACGCTGAATGATGTGACGCAGTGTGACGCACCTGCAGGACAACCTTCTAGAGCCTTTCGTTGCAAGCTGCGTTCGGATCTATCCAGTTGACGCTTGGCGCACTTGAGTCACTTGAGCGTGAGCATGTGTGAGTATAGTTTGATTCTTCACGGGTTTCGCCGGCCTGGGCAGACATTCAGTTGCTTCAAGGAACACAGGGGGCTTTGTCCAGCAATGCGCGCGTCAATCTATGGCACTTTCAGGCAGAATGTGACGGCTGCCGAAATAAATTGGTCAGATTGACATGCTACTGTTTTTTCAGCCACTAGTTTTTTGAGCATAGGAACTCGTGGTGCAGGCCGCCCCAGAGAAAAAGCGCTGAGCAAGCCTTCGAACTTTTTTGTCAAGATTTCACTGATGTGACGCGGCCAATTGCTAAAAGCATACCGCGAACAAAGATTCTTGAAGTACAGCAGGGCGCCAAAAGTGGCCCTGACACACAAGCTGGCTAACGAATCTAAATCAGGTTTGGAGCCGTGCTTACAAGTGATGGAAAAGTCTTTGACCAGAATCACATGCCAAACATGCAATGGACGGAACTGGCACATGCCTGCATTCCACAGCCCTAACAACATGACACCATGTAAACGACTTCCTTTTCTGTTTCCATGGCATTTAGAAGGCACGGGCTCTATGGAAGTCGTTTGGGGTTCATACTTCGCCAGGCCTTGCCTCTTTACGTAATTAAGTAGGCGCCTACTCTATTAATTAGGTAAGGGAGAAGTAAGCTACTAGGAGAAGTTCGCTCCTAGCCAGGACGCAGGATAGCCCACGCACTAATGATTTGATTCCTAGAGTTTAGGGCACCTTGACAGTTTGCATTGATCTGGTTGTGGTTGAAGAGGCGGAGCGGCTGCAGGCAGCCGCATCAGTGCGCCTCGCAAGTTTTTCACAGAATGTTAGTTGGGATGTGTAACGTCCTTGCTAGCCCTGGGAGCGTCCTTGCTCTTAGTAGCGATGCCCTTTGCTACTAGTAGTGTTCTTGTTCCTAGTAGTAAGGCCAGGAGCCCCTAGTAGCGTCGTAGTTCCTAGTAGCGATGCCAGGAGCCCCTAGCAGCATCCTTGTATGCCGGCATATGTTTTCCTTCTCTAGTGTAGAAGGCAATATTCAGTCTCAGTGTGAGCAAATCGTGCTACAACCCAGCTTGCGGCTCAAGCCTGAAGCCTTGGCCAATTGTTTCAACGCCATGGCGTTTCAAGACTCGAGAGACAGTCTCGGTGATATGATTCAGGGAGTGCATCGGCGGGATTGGCCAAGCCTTGAGATAGCGCTTCCTGACCTCGAGGTGCCTTGCATCAAAAAGTGGAAACTACAGTAATTAAACTGTGCAACTGTCATTGGCCAATAATTATGGTGTCCACTTGTGGCCCAGTAATTACCCTAAACTTCAAGCCTTCTGTACTATTCTCACAAGAGGGTCTAATTAGTCGAAGGAATCCCAACCACAGAGAAGGATGTTTGCTTGTTTGCCTCCATGATCTCTTTCTGAGGACTTTCAGGACTTAGCTTATCCACCTGAAGCTGTTGAAGTTCGCAACACCTTCATTCATGTGGCAAGTCCCAAAGCTCAAAAAGAGACGTGCACCGAGCGGCCTGTGCTCTCCTGCCCGGCAAGCCACATTGGATGGCTCACGGGTCTCTTCGATGAAGAGCCTGACCCAGCTCCAAGTCGAGTCCAGCATCGGTCCAAGGACAGAAGGAAATTGCTTTTTTGAAGAAGGGTAGAGGACGCTACTAGGACCAAAGGGCATCGCTACTAGGAACAAGGACGCTACTAGGGGCTCCTGGCCCTGCTACTAGGAACAAAGTAGCAAAGGGCATCGCTACTAGGAGCAAGGACGCTACTAGGAGCTGCGAAGGGTTCTTCGTAAAGAACTGCTGTCGGCTCCATCTTCCTGCTTCTCCTTATAACTAACTCCATTATCCTCCCCTCTTCAGAACCATCAAGTCCGTAGATAAGCAGTCATCAACATCATCATAATTCATAATCTTCTTCTTCTTCTTCCGATCGCTCGAGAACTTCGTTAGCGCGGACCTGGCATCCATAGATGGAGAAAAGGTCTCGGCTCTTGCACTATACCATACCACGAAACTAGCTCCAAGCCCAAAACTGCCAAGCAAAGGCCAGGTCAGCTTGTGCATTCTGCGGCTGACAGCGTCTCAGCAGAACGTGGAGCATGGCAAATGGCCTGTCCACCGAACATTGGTGTGTGTTCATAATGTTGAAGAGGGGCCTATGGGTACCAGCGAAAAGCCCATATATTGTATATATATAGAGGTATTCTAGCTCCCCCGAAACCCACCTGCTCTTAAATTATCTCGACTACCAAAGTAGCAAAGTTCCAAAGTTCCAAAACTGCACAGACCTATGTCCCCAGAACGGCTATGGTCAGGTCATGGGGTCTGCAGTTTTGGAACTTTGGAGTTTTGGAACTTTAGAGGGCCTCCGAAGTTCCAAACTCCAAACTGCACAGACCTATGCACTCAGAGTGGCCATGGTCAGGTCATGGGGACTGCAGTTTTGGAACTTTGGAGTTTTGGAACTTTGGAGGGCCCCCAAAGTTCCAAATGTTCCAAAGCTGCACAGACCTAGGTCCCCGTAGTGGCTATGGTCAGGGCATGGGGTCTGCAGTTTTGGAACTTTGGAAGCCCCCCGAAGTTCCAAAGTGCCCAAAGTTATTCCTTGAAGGCACATCTAAATCTAATTTTCACGCATGTTTATTTGCTTGCATTCTTTACATTGTTTGAAACGTAGAATCTTACCTAACTTTGAATCAGCTGGTTTTTATGCAGTTCCAAGTGCGTGCTGCTTTTAAAATGAAAGCGTTGTACGTATGTAATTAGGTTGTATTCTTAAGATCACACCCCCAGCAAAACCATCTCTCTAGAATAAAGTCCAAATTAAATGATAATTCAATTAGCATTAAATTAGAAATAGTTTTGCATTGAACTAGAAACGATTTAAACTAAATTAGAAGTAATCAAAGCTAATTTGGAAAAACATAATTAAACTAGATTTGTAAACAACTGAAATTGAATTATTGTACATGATTTAAACTAGCGGAAACTAAAAGTTTAAACCAGCGGAAACTAAACGCTAAAATTACAAAATCATTTGCAATATAAACTACATTCACATTGACATACAACTATAAACTAGGACTAACTTCGGGATACGTTAAAAGCAAATTGGACTTAAATTAGATTTGAATTGGAATTTATTTGAGATTGAATTAAAACTTCATTGTTCCCAGTAGAATTGGACAAGAATTAAGGTATCATTGAATTAGAACTGCTTAACCTGCAGCTCGATTTCAAGTCAGCTACTGTAATCATGAATTAGAATTAGACTTGACTGAGAATTAAAGACTAAATGACATCTACAATGGTACTAAATTAGAACTGAATGGAAATTCAATTAGAACTGAATTAAGATCAAGTTGGAGATTGAAACTAAACTTCAATTAGAAATCAATAGATTCCTTTTTGAATTCAATGAGGTTCAAATTCGATTTTGCAATTCCAGATTTAGAATTAAGTTAGGCATAAAAATAGTAAGTAAGTTAGAGTTCACTAGAATCCTATAAATGATCATCAAAAGCTTTATTCATCAGACGGATTTATATTATTTCATGCCAATTTTGGTTTGAAAAAGAAAGCTAAAATTGAAAAACAGCTAAAAATAGAATTGAATTAGATCAACATTTGAAGTTCGCTGGAATTAAGATATAACTGAACTAGAATAGCTTAACCTGCAGCTAAAATCAGACTTGAGTGAGAATTAAAAACTAAATGACATTTGCAATGGTACTAAATCAGAATTGAAAGCACACTCAATTAGAACTGAATTAAGGTATAATTGGAGATTGAAACTATTCAACCAGGTTCAAATTCGCATTTGTCATCCTAAATTTGGAATTAGTTTAGACTTAAATAGTAATTAAATTAGCGTTCAATAGAGTTATATAATGTTAATAAATGATCATCAAAAGCTTTATTCATCAAACGTGTTTTTATGGATTCACGCCAGTATTGGTTAAAAACATAGGCTTAAATGTAAAACATTTAAACAGAATTGAATTAGATCTAAATTTGAAGTCCAATGGAAATACAAGAAACTCTTAGATTTCAATGACAATGTGGTTGTAATTGAATTCAAATTTAAGTCAACTTCCAATACATACACAGGTTGTGCAAAAGCCCAAAGGGCCAAAGCACAGACAAAACCAAAAAAGCAAAAAACCAAAGCTTTCAGGAGAACGTTTGGTTCAGCCGCAAAAGATGTTTTTGGTGTTCATGGTGTTTCTTGGTCATGAAACCCAAAAGCACCAAAAACTTGTTTTTCTGTTTTTGCAGGTATATTGTGCTAGAAAACTGCCAAAAGCAAATAACAGAAGGCGTTATTGTGTTTCTAATATTACAGTATATATGTATTTTGTTTTACTCATAGCAAATCAGCAAAAAACAAAACGTTTTTTGGCTGTAGCCAGCCTTCTTTAACCATACGCCGTGAAAAACAGACGCAAAGGTTTTGGTTTTTGTATTTCAAAACAAAAACGTAAAACAACAAAACATCTTTTGAGGCGGAGCCAAACATTCTCGTCACTTTTTTTTTGGTTGTTTTGGTTTGTTGTTTTGTTGCTGGTCGGCATTGTAAAGTACATTGTTTTCTATTAGATTTTTTAAATCAAACATATGCATAAGACACTGTAAATACCAGTGAACTTGATGAACGGGTGTTATTTTTTGGGGGGTACCATAGATATCTATATGCAGGCGCATTTGTTTAGGGATTGTTGTTTTCATGATATTTTATCAGATTTTGCTTTTGCCGCTTTGCTTTTGCTGCTTTGTTCTTTTCCTGCTTTTGCTGCTTTCTGCTTTTGCTGTTTGCCTTTGCTTTTGCTTTTGCATTTGTTGTTTTCTTTGCATTTCTGCTGTTGCTCCTTTTGGTGCTTTGCTGTTTTTTTCCCCTTTTGCTGTGTTCTTTTTTGCCTTCGGCATTTTTGTTTTTACTTTCTTTTTTCTTTGCTTGTGCTTTTGCTGATTTTTGATTTTGCTGCTTGTTTCCTTTTGTTGTTTTTTGCTTTTGGTGTTTGCCTCGGTTCTTGCTGTATTGTTTTTTGACTCAGCTCGTTTGGTTTTTGTTGCTTTGGTTGCTTTGCTGCTTTTCTGCTCTTGTTGCTTCTGTTGCTTTTTGTTGCGTATGTCATGGTTGTTTTGCGGTGTTGGTGGGTAACGTAGCAGCCTCTTTGTGAGCCACCCGAGGGTAACATTTAGAGGAGAAGGAAGGGGTCATTCCAAGGTAGCAGACCTTTGAGCCACCCGAGGGAAAAATATTGAGGAGGTAGGTAGGAGCTGCCCATTTGGGAGCGTTGCGCAACTGAGGTGAGTTTTGTGTGTGACAAAAAGATCAAAGCGCCGTGACACAAGCAGCCGCGCACAGAAACATCCAAGCGCACGCCCTTCCCCGAAGCCCCCCCCAGCGCCACAGAAACAGCGGTTTTTAAAGGTCGACCACGCCCCA